TGATGCCATAGTACTCTACCCAGGGTGACATAGTGAGACTGTTTAAAAAAAATAAAAATTCAAAATAATGATTTACACCTACTTAGAACCTGAGTGTTCTAATATACACAAACCATTAAGACATTTCACCTTGGGTTGTTTTGTATAGCACTTAGTAAATCTCTTGTTCTTTAGTAATATTAATTTGTTGCACTCTCAAGTCTCTTAAAAAACAAAAGGCATTTGTATACTGATATAGTGATGATGGAATAAATACAAGGCTACCAGGCAAAGGTAAATTTCAAGAGGCTAGAGAAACATACAGAGGACAAGAGCAAGATGCACATTTTGTTAAACCATAAACTCTAAAACCAGGAAAAACTTCCAGCCCAACATGTTGTATGGCTACTATTTTGGCTGTCCATTCATTCTTTCAACTATGATTTACAAAGTACCTACTATATACTAGGCACTTGGTATAAAGTGGTGAGCAAAATATGGTACTCAATCTTTTCTGGTAAACAGCACCTCCCACCCCTGAACACAGGGTGCCTGAGACCAAAGAGTATCTGCCTGGGAATTTTCTGTGAATAGAAAAATTAAACTCACGTATGGCTCAGAGCTCCAGGGTAAAATTCTATCTACCCTTGTTTGTTAGTTACATCAGCATTTTTTTTTTTTTTTTTTTTGAGACAGAGCCTCACTATGTCATCCTTGGTAGAGTGCCGTGGTGTCACAGTTTACAGCAACCTCAAACTCTTGGGCTTAATGAATTCTCTTGCCTCAGCCTCCCATGTAGCTGGGGCTATAGGTGCCTGCTACAACACCTGGCTATTTTGTTGTTGTTGTTGCAGTTGTTGTTGTTTAGCTGGCTCAAGCCAGGTTCGAACCCTCAGTGTATGTGGCTGGTGCCATAACCAGCATCGTTTTTTTTTGAGACAGAATCTCACTTAGTAGTCCTTGGTAGAGTGTTGTGGCTTCATAGCTCAAAGCAACGTTAAACTCTTGGGCTCAAATGATCCCCTTACTTTAGCCTCCCGAGTACCTGGGACTATAGGCACCTGCCACATGCCTGGTTATTTTTTTAGAGACAGGGTCGCTCTCTTACTCAGGCTGGTCTCGAACTCATGAGCTCAGGCCATCTGCCTGCCTTGGCCTCCCAGAGTGCTGGGATTATAGGCGTGAGCCACTGTCCCCGGCTACACTGGCATCTTTATAACACATCATCTTTTATTGCTTATGGTTGGTTCAAGATGACTTCCTGTCATTTGCAACCATGAAATTCTTACTAATATAACTTCCAAAACACAGATAAGACAGATGAAGCCTAGGGAAACTTGCCCTGTCTCATAGTAGCAGAACTAGGAAGAGAACACAGGTCTCCTGACTCCCATTCTCAAGCTGTATCATAGGTCTAAGTGAAAACAAGCTTGGAGGAAGTAATCAATGCACAGTACCTCATGAACCACAGAGCCCAGCAGGAAGTCCAGCCTCTGACACAGTTCTCCAAGGTTGGCCAAGCTACTCGCCCTGTGAGCACTATCTGGATCTCTCACTCCCCGCAGGAAGATGTGGATCAAAGGTTCTCGATACTTTGAGACCATGTCTCCTATAGGAGAAAGAAAGAAATAAAAGTCTTTTAAAACACATTTTCAACTTTTTGTTGTTGTTGTTGAGATGGAGTCTTACTCCATTGCCCTGAGTAGAGAGCAGTGGTGTCATCATAGCTCAAAGCAACCTCAGACTACTGGGCTGCAGGGATCCTCCCTGCAGGGATCCACCCAAGTAGCTATGGAGTAACAGTGAAAAAAGGGTAGAAATAACTAAATGTTAATATGGAAATGATCAGATAACTAGGGTTTACCCACAGTAGAACACCATGCAGTCAGTCATTACAGAAAACAGGGCAGCATTATATAACTGACATGGAAAGGCCTTCTCAAGACACTGTTAAGTAAAAGAAACCAACAGAACCAGTATATTCCATTTATATATGTAAAAATGCACACAGAACTTCTTCCACGTTAACAAACCAAACTTACAGATTTAAATATGTAGATTAAATATACAAATGCAAAGGAAAAAAGGGTGAAAAGATATGCATATACAAATAACTTGTCTGAGGAGTAAACAGAGATGGGATCAAACTTAAATTATCTGGCTGGGTGCAATAGCTCATGTCTATAATCCTAGAACTTTGGGAAGCCAAAGAGGGTGGATTGCTTGAGCTCAGGAGTTCAAGACCAGCCTGAACAAGAGCATGACCCTGGCTCTACCAAAAATAGAAAAACTATCTGGGTGTTGTGGCAGGCACCTGTAGTCCCAGCTACTCAGGAGTCTGAGGCAGGAGGATCACTTGAGACTCTCTCTCAAAAAAACCCCCCAAACTTAAATCGTCTGATAATTAATATCTATAATATACTATATTTCAGATACTTTCAACTAAGAATAAAATATAATTTTCTACTTTTGCATTAATGTAGTCTCTTTCTGGAATTAGGAAGAGGCTTGCTTGCTCTGCAGTGTGAGAGGTAGATCCTGAGTTAAGAGATTTGTGTTCTAGTTCTGGCCCTGCGGCTGACCTTCAGCAATCTACTCGACTTCTCTGGATCAAGTGGGATCAGTGAGTTAGAGAAGATGAGCTCTCAGGCCCCTTCCAGTTGGAAGCCTGAGTTGATGAGTCACTTTTGGTTTGGTCATGGGGAAATAAGATTTAGGAGACTAAGGAAGGAAGAAAAAAATACATTTAAGAGCGCTGGAGTGAGAGGCTGTTGTGCTTAACAAAGGAACAAGGTTCCCTGTCTGTAAGGAAGGGAAGGAACATGAAAGACATTTAGAAATCCAAAGGAAGGGGAAATTGCAAGTTGAAAAGGGTAAGGATATGCGAGAAACAAGTTCATGTGTATTAATGTACGTGTTTAAAGTTAAACATATATGGAAAGGAAAGTCATGATAAATTATCAAACATTGATAAACTACGTACTATGTGCTAGCTGGTATGCTAGGCACTAGAACGCCAACCATAAACAAGAAAGACAGTCTCTGCCCCCATGACATCCACAGCCTGACGGGGAAGAGGAAAAAACTGACCAAGCAATAACAATGAGGTGGGATGTGCCAAAACGGTGATAGACAGGTTTTTATGTGGAATGTTTGATCTGGTTCCTGTTCTATTAACAATAGCTCCAATATTATCTTACTCACTCAGATTCAAAAGCATGTTATTATTTTATTTTTTTTAATTTATTTTATTTCATTTATTTTTTTGAGACAGTCTCACTTTGTTGCCCTCAGTAGAGTACTAAATTGTCATAGCTCACAGCAACCTCCAACTCTTGGGCTCAAGTGATCCTCTTGCCTCAGCCTCCCAAGTAGCTGGGACTACAGGCACCCGTCACAATGCCCTGCTATTTTTTGAGACAGGGCCTCACTCTTGCTTAGGCTGGTCTCAAACTCATAAGCTTAGGCAATCCACCTGCATCAGCCTCCCAGAATGCTAGGATGACAGGCGTGAGCGATTGCTACCCAGCCTCATGCTGTTCTTTTTTGAGGCCTCTCTCTGTTACTCTTCAACTAGCCAGTTGCTTATTATTATTCAATCCTCACTTCCATACAGGATTTGAGGTAATTTATAATAAATAATATTGAAACCATGTATCATTAGAATAAGTATTTTAAAAGCTCTATAGTAAGTGAGAGGAGTGCAAACATCCCAAGCTTTAAAAATGATTACTGCAAATGAACCCAAAATTTAGTTTAGCAGTTTCTGGTTGCTAAAGCAAAAAAGGATTGAGAAAGCACAGCTCTCACTGTCCCATAAAAGGAGGAATATCAATTCATTAGGAAAGAAAAACTTCAAGAAGAACTTTAAGAGGTATCTTATTCACTCATCCAGCAAACCTAGAGGGCTCAACAATATTCCAATGTCCCAGTGTTCTTGGTACTAAACACATAATACAGCATAAAGAAGAAAGCAAACTTCCCACTGTCATGGAGCTGCCTTCTAGTGCAGGGGTTCTCAACCTTCCTAATGCTGCAACCCTTTGAACAGTTTCTCATGTTGTAGTGATGACCCTCAACCATAAAATTATTCTTTTGCTACTTTATAACTATAATTTTGCTACTGTTATAAATTATAATGTAAATATCTGATATGCAGGATGTATTTCGGCAACCCCTGTGAAAGGGTTGTTCAGGGCAGCGCTGTGGCTCAGTGAGAAGAGCGCTGGCCTCATATATGGAGCATGGCGGGTTCAAACCCGGCCCTGGCCAAACTGCAACAGAAAAATAGCCGGGCAGTGTGGCAGGCGCCTGTAGTCCCAGCTACTTGGGAGGCTGAGGCAAGAGAATCACCTAAGGCCCAGGAGCTGGAGGTTGCTGTGAGCTGTGACACCACAGCACTCTACCCAGGGTGATCCAGTGAGATTCTGTCTCAAAAAAATGAAATAAAATAAAATAATTTCCAGCAGCAATTAAGGCTATGAAGATACTTAAGGAAGGTGGGGGGGAGGATTGAGAGCTGGGAATGAAGGCTTCGGGAAAAGCTCTGAGGAGAAACCTCAAGGAACAAATAATATGAAGACCTGGTAGAAAAGTGAAGAACAGAGTGGGCAACAGAAGTTGTATATTTGGTGCAGAAATTATAGGGGTTGTTCCTTATTCTGACCTGCCACAAAGTCAAAAACATATTATTACATTAACAAAAGCACAAGTTAATGTTCCATGTATGTGAATTCCTTCCCTAACTGAGGTCCATTACTTTTTTCACAATGAATATCCATTACATGTTCCACCAACCCATCCCCAATTGTACCCAAGGACCAGAGGAGCCAGAGGGAAGATCAGCTTCTCTATCCTGCACTATGCCTGGGCAGCTGGCTCTGGGCTCCCTTGGTACCTTATTTTCCAGGTACTAGACTGGAAGAGCTGGACACTCACTGTACCCACTCTGCATTTCTCCAAGTCCCTACCATTGTGTTCTCTGCAGTTTGGATCTCCAGTACGCCTCATATACATAACCTACATCTGTCCGACCTGGTCTTCTTTGGGGATTTGTACCTTTGCCCTCTTTTCCTGGGGTTCTGTTAGCCTCTGACTGGTCTTCCCTCCCCTTGTTCCTACCATGCTACATGACTGGTTTCTCAAGACTCTATCAGATCCTGGTCTTCTCCAGGTAAGAGTCAGCCTGGCTTGGTTTCTATAGAGAATAAAATGAATGCACATAGTCAAAGAATAATGCTTCTGGGGTGATTTGACACAGGCACCGCATTTAATGATTCTACATAAGGGATTCTTTTTTTTTTTTTTTTTTT